TCGAGCGATGGGCTGGATCTCTGCGGCCGCAAATGCAACTACAACAACGCCAAGGCTCCTCATGCTCCTCTGGAAGCTGGCAGCCCTACAAAAACTCTCACTCGCGCTTTTCTGGGAGGGGAGATAGAGAGCGAGAGAGAGAAAAACAGGGATAGAAATTCAGAAGTAAAAGCAAAAGGCACATAACAAAAGAAAATCAGTAGACTTGAGGGGATAACGTAGTGATTGTTGTGCAAGCCAGGCGGCTCCGCTGTGGAGGAGCTCTGCATAGGCACATCCCCTGTCTGCCGTCTCCGGAATGATTACCTGATTTGCTTGTAGGATGCCTGCATGCATACGACCTTTCACAGTGTAACTGCTAGGCCTTCCAGCAGAATGGCAGGTTCGTTGGTAAATCTTCATAGCGCCCTGCCCCGCAAAGAACCCACTACTAACCTAGAATGCAGTACTTAGCCAGGTGAGGACTCGTGAAGGTGGTGTGGAAAGCCGTGACTGCTTGGGAGGCATAATTAGCAGAGAGGCCTGCCACACGACGTCTACAGTCCTCAGCAGTCACAGGCTTAGATTGGAGGGATTGAGGATGTTCAAGGATGCAGAACCTGGGCCGACTGATGTGTTACATGGGTGTATATAACGGTTTATGGAGGCATCGTTTATAAAGACCTATATGTACCCAGTTTCCATTTAATCTTCGCATCCCGGGCCCTTTCCACTCCTGGTCGCGTCCACGTCGTAATGGGGCATCACCTCTGGGAGGCGTCGCATGAACTGCAGCAAGCCTTGCAGCGCACACAATAGGAGGAAAATGGCCGTTCACAAAAATGTATGTCTGTACGTATATATGTATATGAAGAGAGAGAGAGAGAGAGATACACGCACATCTATATATACATATATATATATATGTATACGGCTAACCTTGATTGAGCTGTAAGGACTTTTGCAGGCATTGTACAGATACAGATTGTTGTCTGCAGGTTGCTGAGGGCATGCATTGCTCGGAACCAACAATGCGTGATTCATGGGGCTCAGGGATTAAGGCTTCCCGCGCTTGGGTCTCCAATTCCTATAAACCTCAAGAACAGCATTGTGACCCCTGCGAAATTTGGACCATGAGTTTCAAGAACCTTCCTGTGGGATTGTTCGCTGAAGATTCCCACGCCCAAGCGTAGAACGCTGAAGCATCCAAGCAACTTCGCAAGGTGACCCCACGGTGTGCCAAAGCTTCTACCAGGTTGCGCTCCGTTGAGCTGGGGTCTTTGTCATCCTGCACCAGCGCGGAATAGGTATAGTCAGACTTAGAATGAAGACTTGGGGCTTGCAGGGTGTTTCCGCGTTTGACTTCAGTCTACGCATTCTGCTGTAGTTTCCATGCAGAAGGCACGGACAGAAATCTGGCTGTCACATTGGCGGTGTGTTTGTCAAGGAGAAAGTGTTGGATCCGTAGATGCAGCAGGGGGGGCAATCGAGGCAGAAGCTGCTGCTTTGCGGACATCAGTATTTGCGGTTGAATCTGTCGTCGTGTCAAGAAATGCCAGCTTCTTTGGGTCGCTTGTGATTGGCAAGGCTATGTACAATGTCGGCACGTGGCATGCCTTGATATGGCCGGAGAAAGTATGCTCGCATATACGGGTCGCTCATTCCCAAGCAGGAGGCACGCACGGCGGCAGCACGGCCCTATCATGTGCTTGTTGGAAAGGTCAACATGCCACATCCCTTCGCACTGATCGCCATCGCTTGAATCAAGTTGCTGACAAAATTGATTGCGATTGGAGACTTGTGCCTTTTGTTTATGCTTGCACGAAAGCAGTCCGACAGTGCTTGGCAGAATGCGGTTTGTGACGATGTAGCGTGGGCGTTGCAAAAGGTACCATGCCATGTTTGTTGCCGAGCCCATTTCTTTTTTCAGTCTTGGTTCCCGCGCGCAGACAGGGGTGGAATGTTGTTGCTGGTATTCGCAAGGTTACTGGAACGAACAGGTATTGCAGATTTGGGGGGGCAGTGACATTGCACCTCCGGGCATCCAGAGTGCCAATGCGCGTGCGGGAAGCCTTGAGGATCCTGTATCAGCCAGGTCAAGCAGTGAGCCGCCGTGCCTGTTCTGCGAAGCTGAGGTCACATCACTCGGCCCGTTTGCTTCGCACTTCTGGTCATGTCATGGCATTCAGCGCAAGTGCCGCTGTTATGTTGGGGAGTCCTGTCAAATGCAAGGCATTTGGTCTGGAACTTGATAAGCGAGCGCGGCGTTGCTCACATTCAAAGAGAAACCAGCGGTTGCCAAGAGTTCTTGGTTCGCCTTTAACATGACAGAAGCCCATATGCCAAACAAGCAAGAAATCTTAAGAGGACCGGAGTCAGGTTGGCTCAGCACCGCTTTCGATGCTGGCCTGCTGAGGTTCGTAGCGACCTTGAACCCCTCACTGTGGGTGCGCCCTGTTCACATTGAAGGCTTGTGTTACAGGCCCTCCCTAAAATAAACTTGGGATGACTTTATTGATCATGTTTTGCAGTCCACAAAAGACTACAGTGACTGTAGTTCCAAATTTCTTGTGACGAATAATGAGCAACTCCAAGCATGAAACTCTTTTGAGAGGATATCAACACTAATTACAGGCCACACTTTTGAGAAGGACCTTTTCTAGGGAGTCTATGGGGATCTTGGTTCAGGTACGGTTTCATATCGACCCCACACCCCGAATAGCGCCTTCGGGTCCGTCTCCGAGGGGCTCTTGAGCCAGTCCAGGAAATTCCTGGGTTGCTGTTAAGGAGCTTAAATTAAGTTACCATAATGGGTATATATAGTAAATAATCGGGTTTCCCCAATATAGTAACTTAATTTAAGTTCCTTAACTTAACAGCAACCCAGATTCTTCACATGGACGTTCTCGCATGGGAGATCCGGCGGTTTGCTCGCCCGGTATGCCTAGATGGTGAGTCGTTCATCTATTCTAGTGACCTACCAGCTCTGGTTAAACTGGTTACTGGTTTCCTTTGTGATAATACCCTTTGACAACTTCTTTACTTCTTGCCAAGGCTTATGCCTGGGCAACTACATCTGCCCCCAGCCTTTCCCAGCTTCGGACTTAGCTTCTGAGGTGAAAGGATTTCCTGCTGCGCATGAGGTCTCCAGAACCACTTGGCAAGGGCTTGGGAATAGTGCTCTGGAAGCTGGGGTTCTACGCTTCCTGGAAGTTTGAAGGCTCATCCGGCCAGAAGTCAACCATGCCGAATTGCAAAACTTCCTGAAGCCTGAACCTGAAAGTTATGAATGCACGAAGCAGAAAGTACAGCTCTAGAAATGATTTGTCTTGCCTTTCTTCCGGTCATTTGTCCCTCCCAGCTTATAACCTCATTCAAGTGTTCTGCCCACATCAACGGCAAGGCCCTGGTGCTTCGAGGAGGAGCTCAAAGGTCTCCACTTTCTCTGCCCCAAGCCTCAGGTCCGCCGACCCAGCTTTTGATTGTGGAGCTTTCAGATCTGGGGTGTGGAGCGGCGGGAGGTGAAGGTTTGGGATGGAGGTTTTCAAAATGTTCAACTTGACAAAGTTCGCCTGATTTTATGACCCATGGTCAGTACGTATGCTGCCACAAGTTGGACACTCGATATATACACCCGCAAGTCTTCCTAAGGAACCATACATACATATGTAGAGGTATGCATGCTCGCCTAAGGCCATAATAGCCACCCTACATCTAATGTTTCAAACATCAGGGGCAAGTGTGCAGGCGCGCGGGAGTCGGGAGTCGCGGCTCTAAGCGTGAGAGCCCGAGGGAAGTCGGCACCAAGGGTGTTCTTAACCTGCTACATCAACCCAGGGGATGTTCATCATTTAGGGTGGGGGCGGAATTGTTAGGGAGGCCATCCCTATAACCCCTTTACAACCCTGGAATTTTTTCTGTTTGCCGCTTTCTTTTCTTTCTTTTTGATTTGACCTTCCATTCTTGGGCTGATATCCTGAACTGGGACTTTTGGTCAACCGGTAGAAGGAATCAAGAGGCAGCAGCAACAATAGTATCCCCCTTAATTAATAACCCCTATAGTAGCCCCTATATAATCCCCTATATAACCCCCTATATAATCCCCTATATAACCCCCTTTAAGGTTGATTATATCAAGGCAAGACCTGATGGTCGCTCCGACACTGACTACAGTTGGCAAAAGGAATAAATTACAACAGTACCTACAGTGCGGGAGAAGACCTTCCCTTATAGAAAAACATCTAGGGTCAGTAGTGCCAAGCCTGAACAAGCAGAAGATAAACATACGATGATACAAATTCATATCATTGCTATGGGGATGACCACCAGGATAACAGGTGGTGATGATGTTCAACGATGATAAGGGTGTGGTGATTCTTCTTGTCATGGTGCCCATGATGATCATGAACGGCAGGTGGGGTTGAGGTTGTGCATGTAGATGCTACCTCAACTCGCGGAAGTGCTTCTCTGTGCTAAGGCTCCGACATCTGCAGGATCTGCAGGACCCTGCTCTTTGGCAGCTCTTCCACGTCCGCTTGGTGGAAAGCGTGCAAAACCGACTCCATGGCGATAGGGGCAGGGGGGTGGCTGGGAACAGCCTGTGTAAGGAGCTAGGTTGAAGGAGGGGATGGGACTTCGGCTTTTGGATTCTGGGTCTCTTATTCTGGGCTACAGGAGACTTTAACACCTGGGAGTTTCAAGAGTGATGGAAGCTGGCGCGAAGAAATGTTGATGGCTCTGAGCTCAATAAAACGTGCAGCGCACGGAGTTGTTGGGTTCTGGGCTGGACATCTATTCTGAGGACTTCAGTCTCCATTGTCCTCTCAAGCCAAATTGCGGAGAAGAGTGGATGACGACATACAAAGTTGATGCGTGATGGCCCCCCAGTCTGGACAAGGACAGCTGACTGTGTCAACTTGGCTAAAATTTAAGGCGACAAAGCTGCTGGAAGTGATGATGCCCATGCACTGGAGTAAGACAATGTTCCCCAGGCTGCCACTGTGCCAGTCTGAGGCTGGCGCGATGAAGCCATACAGGCACAGGAAATAGAAGCCTGAGATGGAGATTTGCCTGCATGGCCTCGCCCTGAAGCCTGAAGACTGATAGCAAGGTTTCAGGTTTTCAGGCGACTCAGGTTCGCAAGAGTGTCAGAGGGAGCGTGCGCTTGCGGGGGCCTTGTGAGAGACAGCTCTCAGCGCCCCTTGTCCCACAGAAGAAATATCATTAACTCCTGGAAAATGAATTGTGTGTGGCTCGTTGCAGTGCACTTTGGGGCGACTATGACCAAGGCTATGGTATAAGGTCTTCTGTGGGCATGTCAGGCTCGCAAGACCTGGCCAGAGCTGAGAGACAGAGCCGTTGCAGGGCATCACTTCACACGCAGCAATCTCTTCTGAGTCTTGGGCCGTTGTTGCGGTTGAAGGCAGAGACCAGGCCACCAAAGAGCACGTAGTTCAGGGGCAGTCCCAGATGGGATGCCTTAGCTTGGCGGACTGTTGTGAGTTGACTACAGGGGTGACTATACCCTTTGCTCATGGGCAACACAACATATGGTAGTTTCCCACATAGGGGGACCCCAATATAGATGCCAAAATACTATAGTCCTTTTATTTGGACCCCCAAAATGGTACTCTAATTTTGGGAAACCCCCGTATTTCCCAGCCATGAGAGCTGAGCAGCCAGGTTTAAAGCAAACGCAGTGCACATAACCGCCTTTCACCTCAGAACTAACTACCCCTCCTTTGTTATGTAGGTGATCTCACGACCTGCAACTCCAAAGCCCAACTCCGTAAACCCGCCCTCAAGACCTCAGAACCTCGAGATCTCCAAGTTCTGTTGCGTCCAGGCAGCGTAGATCTTCGGATTGGCTGGCTGATGCTCGGCCACAGAATCGACTAACGGGTTTCCTTTCAAGGAGCGGACTAACTGGATTATTATGGTTGGTAAGCACTACATCAGGACCAATCTTTGGGTCCAGCGACTTGAGGGCTGTTGAAGTTTGCGGGTGAACTTTTGAAGGCTTGTTTAAGACAGATATCTCTGGGGCAAGCCCCAAATCCCACACGTTGACCCCTTGACCCTATGAAGGATCCCATGCAAGCACTGCCCGCTAAATCAGATGCAGTTGGGCCAGCCTGTCTTCGTGTGCTTCACGAAAAGGCCTGCTCAGGTAGTGACCGAACGATTCAACTCCGGGCTACGTATAGGCTTTGCTAGAATCACTGCCCGGCGAGCTTATGGCATGTTCTGCGTCATTGCTGTGGTGCAAGAAACCAAGGGGCGTGCAGAATGTCCCGCCCAAAGTTTTCAACTCCAGCTCTTTTTTAGAACAGAACAGAAATCTTTGCAGCTGGAACATGTTGCTTTCCATCCCGCTCTCCGTATGTCCTCTTCTTCCCGTCATGTTTCCCTCATCAGCTCCTGCTCTTGCCTTACCTCCTCTTTGCCCAATGCTTGCTTCCATTTGCTTTGCTGCCGTGTTGCTTCCCGGTGTCCCTCCTCTTCTCATCTTTTTGTTGCCCTGTGGCTGCACTGCCCCGCGCAACACCATCATTGAATCATCACCATCATCATTCTCATGATCACCCCAACCTTTTTAAATTCACATTGCAAACCGCCTCTAATCCTGGAGGAGAGTGGGCCGAAGTAGCCAGTGGGGTACAGCATCACCTGTTCAGCTCTTCTTCGCATGGCAAGGCACGGCTGAGGCACTATGGGGCTATCATGATGACATTGTAAAGGCGTCTGAAATGCTACATCGCGCAGCTATTGTGACGGTTTGCAAGAAATGTTGCGGCCCCTTTTGAGCCTGAGGTTGCCTGTGATATAACTGGGACTATAATGTGTTGGGGTACTCTATTTCTGGGAAGTCTCATCTCTTCATAAAGCTTAGCCTGAAACCTTGCTATTGGCTTGTTCATGCTTGCATCTTCCCTTTCTCCCTCCCCAAATCCACTTTCCCACACTGGATAGGTATGTGCCGGAAAACTAGTGTTGTGAATGCAACTTCTACTGCTTCTTTCCTCTACTACCACTTCTACTACTACTACTACTACTATTATTACTACAACTGCTAATTCTAATACTAACTTTTCTAAGACTAATGCTAATGATTTAACAGAAAATTGCGCACGACCTGTTTATACCTTTGGCTTTTCCGTGTCTAACTCCCGGAAAGTTATCTAAGCCACGTGACCGCAACTGCGATGAGACCGAGGCCGGCCAAGACGCACATCCTCAGCTTTTTCCAGAAGCCCCCCACTTCAATGTACCCCGCGTTTTTCAAACACTTCTCAGAGCCTTTTCTCACAAGAATGCAAACACTCACCACCTATCTTCCAGAAATAGGCTTTCACACTTGCAGGGGCTGTGGATGCATGGCTCATCATGTAGTGTTTCGCCGCTCCTGCTATCGCGTTCAGTTCTTATCCCTCCCAAATCTACTCATTGTATAGAAGGCGAGGGGCATGATGCGGTACTTCACGAAGGCCCATGTCTCCATTTTCTGCCGCCGACGCTGGAAGTCGCAGAATGCCAGCACCTGCACAGGCTAGTCCCCAAATAAATATAGACGATCTGTCTGTTCATTGATATCACTGCCATACTATCAGCACCAGCATGGCTATTAAGGAGGATCATCTTCTTCGCTTTGACCGTTTTAGACCAAGTTCATACCTTAACTGCGAGCATGGCCCAAATTTTTCTTGACGACCCATTTCCTGCCCCGGCCACCCACCGCACCAGCACCAGCAGCACCACCACCAAACCTCAACAACCACTGCTTTTGCTGCTGCTGCTGCTGCTGCTGCTGCTGCTGCTGCTGCTGTGGCGCCGACAGCATCACCACAACAGCAACAACACCGACCTGTATGTTGCGACCACGAATATGGACTAGTACTATATAGTGCTTTGTAGTGACAGCAGGACTCCTCTTGACTCCGTATTTCTGATGGTCTTCTGCTGCTGGTGCAGTCCCGTCCTGGTAGCCGATGAAAACTAGCAGAGGGCCCATCTGCTCCAGCGAACGCAGCGGCTGCCATCCTACCTGGATCCACATCGCCAATTTAGGGTTCAAGGCCCGGTGCGGATCTCTAGCTTTGGGGCTTGGGGCCGGGGTGGGAGACTTCTTGGCAAGGACTGTTTGAGGTGGTCTTGGCGAAAGTTTACTAGCATGGTCAGATGTGCAGATGTGATTTGTAAGTTTATAAGTCACAAATCAGATATTGCGAGGTTTTGCAAGTGTAGGGAGGCATTGATAGAAGGCGCTGTGCTCTGGGAAGGTCTGGAGAAGTCCGAGAGGCCACCGGGATCTGAACCGCACCCGCTGTGCCAATGATGAAGAAGAGGGAATACGCCCTGCCATGTTGCAAGGTTGTTTGGCTAGGGGTGTTTCGCCACATGCATACCCTCAGGAAGCGAGGGATGCATTGCGTCGCTCTTGCAGCATTCAGGTTCTCTTATGAAGTTCCAGTTTTGCATGGGGAGTCGCTTGGTACCACATGGCAGCAGGGGCGGTGTGATACGAGTACTGGCGATGATGGGTAAAATATGACACGCACCACTGCGAAGAGATTGCCGTGACAGAAACAGAAATGCCGGTGTTGACAGTATTGCAACAGAATCGATGTGACACAACGAGAGCTTCACCCAACATTTCAACAAACATGGCTGTTGCTAGCATGCGAAACATGCCCTGGTGTCTTGTGAACGCCGCTGTTGAAGCGGCCCAGTAGCACCAGCATGACAGCGTGAACGCCAATCATGTTGAGCACGAAGATGTAGCCTATCAGCGCCATGAACGAATGTTGCGTCAAAGCCAGGGGTCATATATGCATCTGATCTGCACAGTGTTGCAGGGCATTTTCTTCCTGCCTCCCCAAGCAGCCACCATGTTGATGTAGGAGAGCCCCGTGAAGACCCCGATGGGCCACCATCTGGGGCTCCGGATCTTGGTGGAGCTTTGTGTTCAAAATATTCAACAAATCAAAAAACAACGCAGCGCTGGTGTGGGTGACGACTGATGCGTGTACTGCTGGCATGCGAACAGGCATCCTAGTGGAAGATTCCTTGACACGAAGCCTGCTGGTCCCTGTGTGGATCCACGATGCCTTCATAAACCAATATATCCTTACGCTCGGAAACGTGAAATCAACAAGCTCACTTTGGTCTCCGGCGGACAGCAGCCATAACCAAAACCTCAAGCTGTCAATCTCAGCTCTGCGCTCCCATTGGGTGCAATATCATTTCTTCTGGGTTGTCTATGCTGACCTCAATGATGTGGGAAGCTCTACAAAGTCTACGACTACTGGGTTTGAGCATAGGGGATCATCTCTTTGGGTCTCTCTAGTGCAGCTGACGTCATGGTCAATGACACAAAACATGGTTACCCAAAGTAGGGGACCCCAATATGGACCGTGACGTGATGCAATCCGACCTTAGTTAGGTACCTCCAAAAACGGACACCTAATTTATGGAAACTCCAGACAGGCTGGCCCTTACCAGTCCACAGTTCTCCAAAATTTGAGAGTCGCCGTATCAGGACCATTGTGTGTCCATGAGCACCATGAATGACGGAGGAGCGGAGTCTGATAGCTGCATGCCAGGGCACGTCATGCAAATGGCGGTCATTGCAACGGCTTCGTTGTCAAATTTGCCTGGAGCGCTCAATGCTCTGATTTTCTTGAAAAATGCAAGGGATGTGTCGATGACAGGGGAGCAGTTTTACCGGTCCAGTCATGTTCTGATAAACCTTAATTCAAAGCACCTTTCGAGGTCCTGTGCCCCTCTCAAACAAGGGAATGCATAGACTACACCTTATTGCAGCAGTGCTTGGGCGTGTTCCCGCTGGAGCCGACTACAGCCCCCTTCTCGCAGCAGCAACAGCCGATTCTCCTGCCAAGCTGCCACCGACCGATCGCATGATGTGGGCTGGAATGATGGCCATGATGCCCGTGGCCTGACAAAGTATATGAGAGGGACCCAGCAAGATGCTGGGTTGTTTCTGCATGACACTTTCTCGCCAAACAGAAGCATGGGGCCATGGTTACGCAGCCGCCAGCAACAAAACTGAAGCAGTGCGTCTTGACTTCCGACTATGTTCTGCTTATGACCTCCCAACTCATCCGCGCAAACAGTGCGCACTTGGCTAGCGGCTAGCCACGGTGCCTACTGCTGCTACAACAACAACAACAACAACTACAACGACGACGATGACAACGACGACGACGACGACGACTACTACTACTACTGTCCATTGGCCCTGCTGGGTCCCTTGAAATCTTGCTCGCTATATCTCTCCCTTTTGGCAAACAAGATACCATCAGGCCAGCATTGACACTGCGAGAGATCTCGTAGGCCAGTAACCCCGTGAAGATCGATGCCTTGGTAAGGTTTTGGTCTCTTTCTCTCTCTCTCTCTCTCTGACTCTATCTGCCTCCATCTTTCACTGGGTAAGACTACTCGGTCCAAAACCAATCGTCTTGCTGTTTTCGCAGTTGTGACATGCAAAGTTATCGGAATATGTGGTAGCAAGGAAAACTGGGATAGAAGCAAGACACATTCTTCGTAGTAGTAAGAATGGAAAGTAGAACTTGCAATTGTGATTGATATGCAAATAGCAACAGTTTTCGGCGCTGACTCTTGGCTTTGTAACACAAAGCAGCCATGCTCAAAGGGGACAGCGAATACTCTCCAGGCAACAAAAGTTGAAAAACAACACCATCATGTCAGGAACCATGACACAAGTGGTCAAGCCGTTACATGCTGCTCAGCCGCCACGGAGCCGAACCTAAGAGCGTGATGTGGGGGAGAGGCACAGGGACTTGTTTTCTGAGGCTTTCTATCCTCAGGTCATCCTCGGAAGGCCCTTTGCACCAGTCTCAAGACAAGGAAAACAGAGCACGGAAGGCAAGGCAAAGGCATTGATGGGGAATAGGTTATATGACCATCTCTACATACATGCGTACGTATGTGTATATACGGAGGTCTGCATTGTCAACCTCTGCCCTGGGAGCAATTTTTTGATTGCTTGGAAGAGTTGCAGCTAGTGCTGTCAAAACATGCCTCAGAATTCAACTAGACTCGCTCGCAGAGCTCGGCAGCTCAGCATATCATTTACGAACTGCAAGAGGGTTTTCCAATGTTCACATCTGAAGAGAAGGCTCAAGCTCGCCAGGGAGCCAGGGTGGGATCATGCAGCAGATGTCATTCACGCTCATGGGTCCGATTGACATAGACGACCTTGCTCTGGGCAATGTGAGCAACCGTTTCAGGGGAGTAGAATGCATTCCAGCTAATCAGGCCTCCACAATACAAGGGTCACGGAACTGGATTTGCATGCGGATGGCTCTTTCGAGCATGGCCCCCTTTCAGGCGCAAGGAGTCTGGAAGGCCCCTGCTTGGAGTGGCACTAGCAACTGCTTGCAGTCCCGTTGCTTGAGCGGCCATGGAATAAACGGCACGCCATTCCTGCGAGATGTGAGCACGATGCGCGCAGGAAACTCTCAACTACAGAAGCTAGAACAAGAAACCCCATCAGGCGCCTTGATGCCCAGGTTTCCAGAAACCCCCAAGCTGCTGCATCAAAGCTGCAAAAGCTTTCCATGGGTGACTTTATTGCCAGCTCTTGATTTGCAACCTTTGTTTGAAGTTGGAGACTCCAGCCCCACAAGTGTGGAACCACTCACGTCAAACCGGAACATCTGCGTAGAGGTCTGTCCGCTTGTATCCCAATCGCTGTCCTATGCAATGTGCAGAACAACTCTAAGTCTTTGCAAACGGCTCACCCGATACACCTTTAAAAGCGCATGAGGTATATGATTTTAGTAACCGCCAGCACGACAACCAAAATCTTTGTCAGATAGTACCGCCCATACCATGTTAGGGTCTTTGCTGGCACAACCACAACAAAGTGGACCAGAGGATCCACCAAAGGCGTATTACATGTACCCTCATCGCTTGAATGCTATCAGCTTAAGCGTACCTCAAGTCTTGAATCCTTCATCCACTTGTGCCCCCTGAAAACCACGCTTACCTTGTATCCCTCCAAAAGATCCAAGGAATGGAGCCGCAGAAAAAGATGTGTTTTGGTTGGAGTTCAAGTGATGCACCTAATTTCTGCTTTTGGGGTTGCAGGTGGGTCCTAGGTCCCAGGTGTCCTAACTCAAGCTCACCCGCTCCTGCGGGCCCACGACGCCAAAGGCCGCAGTGGCGGGATGAAGGGCAAAGAGACCTGGGAACTTTTCTTAGGGCACTCCGATATCAGTTTCCACCTGCACCTCTCAGTGTGGGCCGGGATGTTCGCTCAGGCTAGGATAGGTGTGTAGTAAGAGACATTGATTTGAACTAGCCAGCCCAACCCGAAATGCTGAAGCTCCAAATCTGAAGTGCTCCTGTTTTCCCGTTGTATACACATGGCTTCAATCACTTCTAGTCTTGCTGAAGCTACCAGCGTCCGTGTGATTCTTCTCTGCGCATGTGATGAGCTTTCCGCCTTGGTCTCGGGGACATGCTTCAGCACCTGCCAGTGCATTATATATATATATATATATCTGTATAGATATCCCCATATATGAATATACCCATAAACACCCATGTATATCTATATCTATATGGTAGCTTCCCTAAATTACTGTTCCCAAAATAGGGGAAATCTATATAGCGCCCCGTATTATAATGGGAACCCAAATACAGGACCCCGTATTATAGGGAATTTAGACCAATACCCATAGATATATATATATATATACACGCACGGCACTGTGATCTGAGCACTCGTTCTGGCCCCTTTCTGTTTGCATAACTCACAAGTCTCAGGTTCGGAGGTTCGGTTATGGGCAGCTGGGGGTCCCACGAATTGCGTCTACAATAACGACTTCCTGCAATGCAACGAATCACTTTGAGAAGCCACCAGATGAGGGTTCAGGCTTTAGGGTCTTTTTTCTTTTCGTTTTGAAGTTGTCCTTGGAGGGGCTTTACTCGAAACCAACGAGTCGTGGAAGGCATGATGAATGCAGTGGAGTATATGCGCAGGCGAAAGAATCCATTTTTCCTCCCAGAGCTAGATTGGTTATTGGGCAGCGGTATCAGTGAATTTATCTGCAATGACGCGGCAGAAGCAGAGGGACCTCAAAACCCCCTAGCACGCAAGAAGAAAAGTTAAGTTGCCTTGATGTTTTTTGCTTGCGATTTGTGTGCAGCCGGCAATGTGTATGAGTACTCGCACGAAGCAAACAATCTGTTCAAAGGCCCCAAGTTCCCAGGTTTGAAAGCCCCAGCAGGTGCAGCAACACAATTGTCTTGGCAGGAGCAGCGTTCGCAAGTGTGATCCAGGATGCATTCGTCAGTAAGAATCAGCAATGATCATGATCATCGTTCCACAGAAACGGTGGGGCCCTGTTTGCATGAAGCCCCGCACATCCTCAGCCCCATTGAAGTAAAGCTAAACATCTAAACCCAATGGCCCTGAAGTCCGACACCCTGAAACTGCACCATCTTGAGCCCACAGCTTCTCTGTCACTTCCCGCCTATTTCTGTTCCTCCCTATCTACTCAGTGCCTTTACAAAACTGAACATGCAGGGAATTCCTAACCAAGAGCTGAGATGTCACCTGCCTCCCAGATCCCAACAGCCCACATCTGCATGCCGGGATAGATTGTTGTGCCTGGCCGCAACTTTCACATGGTACTGACAGGACTTCTTTTGGGCGTATAGGTATGATGTCTCCCCGCAACAGAGTGTCTACTCTCGAAATCCACCAGAATTTTTTGTTTGTTCTGCTCCAGCAGGGTCTGCAACATCATGCTTTTGTTGCTCTGATTCTTCGTTCGCACTGCATGTCTTGCCTATACTGCAATAGCTTTAAAGGACACGCCGCTTACGATTTCCAGCAGGAGCTCGCCTATGGGCCGCCCGATTGGGTACCAGGACATGTAGTCGTACCACTTGAAGAATTTGGACAGGCCGTGCTGTGCCAGGTACTCCTGAGCTGCAGGGAGACTCAAGAGCAGAACCTCATGGTTTCTACATACAGAAAAACCAGGGGATCTAAAAGTCAGGCAATTGAAGAGCAACTTAAACCAGCTCAACACGCGGATTATACATACGACTCTTGCACACGAACCGGCCTCCGGTAAAAAAAAAGGGTGTCCAACTAGTGATTCTGAGCAATCCACCTATTAGATCGAGTGTCAGCAGCGCGGTAGTTGAACCATGGATCGAACTCATGGATGATGTGCCCAAACCTTTCACGGCCAACTAACGCGGGAGGGTCATGGACTTCGAGGGAAAGTTATTGCAAATTGTAAAACCTGCATCCAAAGTTTAGGAGTTTCCGTTCAGTGTTGGGATGCCATTGAATGAGACGGTGAGCAGGACTATGTCCTATGGGTCCAGTTTGTGCCAATTCATGACTCAGCTCGGCCAACGGGCAGAAGCAACGATACAAATATGGTTGTTTTTGGCTGTCTTCTGCATAGCCGTGATATCTTCATGTCGGCACTATTGTTTGTGCACATCTTGGGGACGGACACAAGTTCCTGAATCTCTGTCCGGCAGCACCTGATCAAGTCTTTAGCCGTGGCACGTCCGGATTGCATGAAGACGGATATCCTGAGCAGAATCTCAGCGCCGCAACAAGACATCACACCCCACACGCAAGAAGGTTTATGACGCTTAGTAGTAACTTGCTCGGTTCAAGAAGAAAACTTCTGAATTGAAAACTGCACTGACCTGCAGTGCAGGTGGGGTTGGAGTCGAACAACGCTTCTTCACCAGCTACGCGGTGACAGCCATACAAGGTTACACCACTATGGGCATGCAAGAGAACGAATAACAGCCTGGGATCTCTCCAAGGAACATATCAGACGGCACAGCATTTAGAGACAAAAAATCAATTTGCAAGCGGCGTAGGCAGCATAGGCGAAGTAGAGGAGGAAGATTGCCTGGCCATCAACTGACATTCCTGTGCGTGCTCATTTCTGACAGCTGGGATCCTGCTTTCTTTGGATGGACCCTCAGCATGCCCCACAAATTGCAGACAACCAATTTCAGAGGCCCTTTTGCAACATGTAAATCTTCACCGGAATATGTGAAAGTGGGCGCCCCTCGCAAAATTTCTAGAACCAAGTCGAGGAAACCACTGCGCAGTCGCACTATTTGTTTTTGGCCTGCCCCACAGTTTTAAGCTTTCAGGATTTGCCTGGCCGATGTCTGCCCTGCAATCTCCCCGCCTGCACGATGATAAGGCCTAGGTTCCATGGTTGGGTTGGCACGTTTACTTTCATTCTGGCCGGGGAGCAACATGCTGGCATTCTCCATAATGCGAAAAATCGGTACCGGGGCTTTGGAGGGCTACTTCTCCTACTGCGACCGAATGTACTGAGCCGACTCCTCATCCGCCTCACCCTGTGGCAGCGTAATCTGCAGCCCCACATTGCAATTTCAGTTTGCAGCACCATGGCCATTTCTATCTACAAACTCTTAGCCCAACCCCTTCAGTTGCTCAGCTGCCAATCCTTGGTGGATGGTGTGGCCATCGGGAATCCCATCCTAATTACTTTGACAGGTGCCGTGCAAGCCAAGGGCCCATACATTTGACAGTAGTCCACCTCATGCAGCTTGGTGGCCGAGCTTGAAAACCTGGCGCAGTGGAAACGCCACCGCCGAGGGCAAGATCGCCATCCACACTGCGGCCTGACATCCATGGTTCTAAGTAAAAACGTGCTCAGTGTAGAGATGAGGACACACGCTATGTTTGTAGCAGAGCAGAAAAAAACAAGATGAAGAAGCAGCGCACTTGTTGCCGCCACCACAACAGTGGCAGAAGAAGGATAGAAGAGGCCTGGTAGCAGCCGTCACAGCAGTGGAGGTAGTAGCAGATAATAGCGGTCATGGAAAGAATGGAAGATCTTTCCTGACCAAAGCCACGCTACCGACATCAATGGCAACAAAAGAGGCCCTGAGAAACCATCATGCTTCTCGAAGGAAACTTGGTTTTCGCACGTCAGCGCTACACTATATACGCATGAAGAGCAAACACCGTACCATAAGTGATGGCGAGAGCAGATGCGGTTGCTCTGCGGGGCCTCTCTGCCGCTTGGGGCCGTTGAGGATGCCCAGCCCCACAGGGCTGAGACAGCTAAGGCTGTAGTTAAGGCATGTAATGCTTGAAAGAACACTTGTTCGAACTTTTAGCAATGAGAAGGATGAAGCAGGTGATTGCACTTCGGGCTCTCCGCAAAACTCAGCAGCTTTGGACATACTGTGGAGTAGAAGAGCTGGCGGCACTGATGCACAATGGGGCTGCTATGCTCTGTAAGCTGAAGCTGTTCTGCATACATCTAGTGTGACCATCCAGGCATTCCTCAATCCTTGTTAAACGCTGAAAGCCCATCTTGCTGGGACTCTTGCTTAGCACACGGTCAGTCTACTCAAAACTGGGAGCCACGAGCGCAATCCAGCAACGCCTGAGGAACTTTCGGAGGTGTAGGTTGCAGGGTTTGGGGATATGGGTCTGCGCTGGAGAGATGTCAGTTTAGGGAACGGAACGCTTGAAACCCTTTGTCACCACGGAAATGGGCGGGGAGATCGAAGTCCTGAATGTCGAGGATTGCGAAGTAGCTGAAGTAGGGACTCACAATGTGCTTCAGTAGTCACTACTGCCGTGCAAGCCTTAGCGAAGCTTAAGAGGCTTGGATACAACCCAGAAAGCCCAAGCCAAGGAAGCAATAGATTGATCCCTGCATTCTGATGTAGGACCATGACGAAAAAAACCAGCAGGATCCTTACTACAATCAGGATTCAGAAAGGTGGCTTCTTGCTTGGAGATCTATCCGCGTTGTGAAGGTCGGGCAGGGTTTCACTGAGCCTCGCGGCCTTGCAGCAAGGGGCTGGGAATCGTTCTTTAGGTACTTCTTGCAGATGACTTGCGGTCGGGTCATGACAGTGTGTACAGTCCTTAGTCCACAGTAGCCTTTCGAGAACATTTCCTGATTCGCATCTGTGAATCGCAAATAACGTGCACTCCTGCTTGAGCAGCTTTTATGGGGTTTGTGCCAAACTTCTATCTTTTACAGCCCTGCGTGTCCAAAAGTACGGACCATAGTCTGGCACACTCCCAGAGATTGCGTGGCTGTATGCGCTTGGGTGGAGCATCTCTGGAAACTCGGAGCAGCTAACCCTCCTAAGCACAGGGGGTAGCAATACTGGTAGGCCCGTTCGCAATTCTTGCAGCTGGGATGCCAGCAACCACTGGAGGGGTGCTGGAGCGATAAACGAAAGCGTGTGCCAGTGTTACTTGCAACATGGACAATCAGCTGTGAGCGCTGCTTGTGGCTATCAGTTTATCAACGCACCGAGGAGTTGCTCTACCCATCAGCTTGCACTGCTGAACATACGCTACTACTGGACAGGGCGCGGGAGTTCTAAAGCTCTGGTAGCTAAGGAAAAACGCCCGAAGCAGTAATGTTGCTATTTCGTGCGAGCAACGCTTGTTGCATTCTTGCCTTTGAAGCTCCTGCCCCTGAAGAACCATTGTGCAAAGAGCAGCCGGGCGTGGAAGGCCAGTTGCCGACATAGGATCTGCACTATGTTCCGAAGTTATGCATCATAACGTCATAGGGTCCCAAAAGGGGGGTCCATCACATTTCCACCCCCAGAACGAGGCCCAAATAAGCGTTAAGACTTTCTAATATGTACAGTCCCTATATGTCCCTTATTCCGGGAGGGGGCCCCCTCTTAAAACCCTATGATAAAGGTGCGAAAAATGAGGTAGACTGCTACTACAGCACCTGGCCAGAAATGCTTGGACTTTCTCTGGCTATCCTCAAAAAGCTTTGAACGCAAGCGTGTTTGGACGAGATTTTTCCCAACCGAATGAGAACTCGTGCCCTGCCTAACGAAGATCTGAATGCTTGGCAACAAAATGGGAACATAGCTCTTGAAGACTTCCAATATGATTGCAATCATGACTGAATGTCTTGTGGATATCACGACGATATCTGGAAGTTCGTATGAAGATCCTGTTTGGAGATTCCTCCCCTGCCAACACCCGTGCATCTAACGTACAGCCTGCCATCTGCCTTAGCTATTCGCCGAGCAGATGCGTGAAATACTCCAGAGCCGGACTCTGGGGATTGACGGACGTGCACGTCTGACAAATGCAAAATGAAAGGCCAACTGGTGTCCCCAAACCAGGACTTTTTAAGGCCGCCTCTGCATGTCTCGAAACTACAAGCGCAGGTTTCTATAACTACTGAACTTCACACGAGGTCGGATCCTGGCTTTTGAGGCCTGTGACACGCAAGCGCCTCAGAGGAACGTCGGCTACTAAGGTAGACCGCCGAGAAGGTTACTGAATTCAAGTTCCTGAGAGTTTGGCCTTGGGCACTAGGCTGCAGCGTAAGTAGGGGTCCTAACCCACTGATAAGTTCATGCCGCATTCCCGGAGGCGTTTGTTTCTTCGACAACTTCTGCCTTTCCCTCCATTGCAGGAGGCGCAGGCTCAGTGCCAGAGGCTTTTGCCTCTTCTACAGCTTCCGGCTTTGCCTCCGTTTCCGGGGCCGCAGGCTCATTCCCAGAGGCCTTCGCTTCTTCTACAGCCTCTGCTTTCCCCTCCGTGGCAGGGGGCTGGGACGGCTCTGTTTCTGCAGGCTCACTCGCAGCTGCTGGGGCCGCCGGGACCTCTGCTTCCAATTCCTGGGAAACCGAGCGGTTTTTTCAAGCTACTGATGCAAGGTTACCTTTGCAAGAGCGTGGCGACGGCTAACAGATATTTGAAACATACCACCTGGCTCCGTGGTCCGTCAAAGTAAGGATTGTCAGCAGGCTGTTAGCCGACAGCAGACTGATGATGTTGTTGGGCTTCTGATTGCCCATGCTTGATCCCCACCCGTTCGCGGGAATACGCGAAGTGGTTTGGAAGCAACGATGAAAGGACACTGTGGTGAAGAGGCCAGTAACAATTGAGCTCTTATAAGTGGGTTTGCAGAATCCAGAAGACCATGACGGCTCTCCCGCCTTGATAGCCTTCTCCAGCTCTCCACTCTGCATAGCATCCCAAAGCGCCTTTGCAACCTCGGAGGCTGAGGTTTGCAACATAAGAGCTATAAGAAAGATGAAGACTAGATTCATCAAAATCAAGCCCTTGGGACCCCCTACCCCACCCCGTGATCACCCCCAACCACCCCCAGCGCGACACGACGACCACCACCACGACCACAAGCATGACCACCAGCACAAGACCAGTCAACCCTGACATCAAATTTTCTTCTCTCGCAGTGGCAATGTTAGGGATAACAAGCGTGCTAGTCATTCACCCAAGTCGCTCTCCCTGTGAGTTCCTCCACGGTCGGGGTCTTCAGTTCTTTGAGGGCCTGACTGGTGTGAAGAATTTGGAGACAATAGAGACTAGGGCCTCCCTCTTTATAAGCAAGATGTAGGGTTATGATAGACTTCCGTAGCGAATCATTTTTACAGAGATCTGCGGCTTTGGTATGGGCAGCTCCTGAACTGGGTGTGGTCACCTTACTTAGGTTAGGGATCATGGGTGCTTCCTGACGTTTCCGATCTGTAAGGAGCATCACGGCGGCCCGGCTTTCCTACTGGTAACCCAGTAACCCTGTGGCATGAAACCTGGAGCCCTGCATGTCGAGTTGAGGTTTTCCGCGAAGCAGTAGTTGAGGGGTTGCCTTGGGTCGGGCTTTGGTTTCTAGGGCTTTGAGTTTCCGTGACCATTCGTCATCTGTTTATCATATGGTCTGTGGCATCGAGTCCCTTGCATACTCCGATCGCATCTAGGGCGTCCCTATCAGGCCCCCGCCAGATGCCCTGCGCTTTTGCGAGTAGGGCTACATGGTCACTACAGATTTTCAGTGCTTCGGCTGTTCCTCTTCAATGCCAAATTCACAGTCACCATTCGCCTCCTCCAACTTTCCAGTCTCGGCTGCCTGCATCCGAGTGCTAGCTTGAACACCACGCAGTTGCTTAACAAACGTCTGTAAATGTGTGGCAACCCCGTAATGTGAGAATGTGATGATACGGTACCAGTATAGCAAGGGTCACCCTGGGCTATAGTTTCCATTGCAGGGCCGCTGCACCGAAAGCTGCATCGTAGAGGCAGCTCGACAGGTAGCTTCAACAATCCTCCCAGTCCTCGATGAGTAGGCCAGCGGCGCGATGACGCGACTCGTCTTTGCTCATGGTTACGCTGCTTTTGTTGTCCTCGGACTGACTGTAACGAGGTTAGCTCTTCATACCTGGGAGGTTGTGAAGGCATGGGCTGCGGAGGCAGAGGTGTACATCACGTCCTTTGGTTCACCGAGTGATACTGGTACCATCCTCGATGTTCTTGAGGTGCATGTTACAAGTAAACATGTTGGACGCCATAAAAGAATCAACGAGCTGACAGCAGTCCCTACCCTGGTGATTGGTTCAGCGGTAAGTAAGTGGTAGTCTTGGTAGAGCTAGCCAAGCCTGTGCAATATGAGCTGGAACAAGAAATTCATCATGGGAACTAGGCCTACGACTGCCACAAAGGAGCAGCAGTGGGCAGAATGCACAGATCCAATTGACAAAGGCATTTGGTTTCAGTATGTGTATCAGGTTCCAGAAGTATTGTGTCAACGAACTATGAACTACTTCAGTCCAAAGTCTAAAGCAGCCTTGCAGGCAAGGCTCCTTTATGTCTGCGAGAGCCCTATGCAGGTCTCCGTTCTCCGATGCCGACATCAGCAGGTTAGCGACCTGCACCAAAGTCACGATGCTAGGCCCCTCTCTTGTACAGTCTCCAATATCTGGTGCTCTCTGTACCTGCTCCTCAAGCAATAGCCGATATGTCTGTTTTGCAACTGCCACTCCAGGCGCATGCGGGAGCTCCCCAGCCTTTGGTGCTTCCCAAGCGTCACTTTCTGTCAAGACCAAATTTATAGCCCTAAGAGCAACGCAATTTTGTGGTCTGTAGTCATGGGATACAACTATTCGAACTTTGCATACCAAACACTTGCAGCCTTGAGCCGTACTTCTTCGTTCGCCCGCGAACCGTGTTGGGCGTGGTGCACGGCCTCGACGGACCCGTCACACACATACACAAAGCAGCCATGCCACTACTATTGCAACCTCGCCGTGATCTCTGTGGCTTGTATTATCATGACCTGTGCTGGTCCACTAAGGCGTGTTAATTTCTGTGAGAACCAGTCCTGGAAATGGAAAGTTGAACCCCCAAAGAAGTAGCAGTAAACTAGTCTAAAATTGGCCCTCAATCGGAACATTCGTAAAGTCTACAAACCTTGCATCCGCCATCCACCTAAACGCAGGGTGTTTCTAGGGAGCTTACCTTGTGCTGGGGACGGGAGCAACACGAAAAGTAGCACAGGCCTCTTCTAGGTCTCCATTCTCTGCAGCCTGTGTCAAGCTTTGGCTTTCAGGGTTGGGGTTTTGTGGCATTCATTCTCAGCGAGTGAATGCATCTTTCGTGGGCCTCGAGGCTTTGGGTTTAAGGGTTTGGGATCCTGGGAAAGGGCTTTAGGGATCTAGGGTGCGCAGGGAAACGATAGCTGCGGAGTTCTTTTATAACTCCACATGGCTCCATATAGATTGTACTTGAAGTATGCGCAAGAAGAGGCCAACCGGCCAACCGTAGCTGCACTTCGTGCATCCAAGTGCTGAGCTCCGACAGCCTGAGATGAAGCAAGCACTCATATTTTCATGATGGGCCATATGCATTATCTCAAAATCGGTCGTCAACCTGATTTTGCACCAAGGACATGTCGCTTGCATATTCAAAGGATGAACGTGAGCCTGAATCCGTCAAGAGCATACCTGGCCCTGAGCTTTGCCCGCTGGAGCCCTCCTCAACATAGGGTGCCAATAGGTAACTCTACCAGAAATGCTTGCAGTCCCGAAGCCCTGCCAGAATCTCCAAAAGACACGCAATTGGCCAACTCATTCCTGAAATCCCAGCCGTGCCTGCATCAGAAGGTTGGCTGTTTTCACCCGAACGTGTTCCACGGCCGACGCCTCAAATTTACCAAAGGGCTCTTGCTGAAATGGATTACGCCGACCATGCTGCAGGCATTGGGCCGGCTGTCGCGGCGCTGTGCAGCAATATCCGGACTGGTGCTTGTTTTCGTAGTTCTGGCTTGCATGCGGACTATTCAGCCACCACTCTTGCTGTACTTGTTGCGCCCCTTGCTGCTACACTACTCCTCCTACTCGTGTTCTTCCAAACCGGGGCCCTCAAGAACTTCAAGGTGTTCAACAGGGACCAACTGCTCAGCTCCTAGATGCATGAGCCCCGCAACCAAAGGAAAATAATTCGGATTCCTTATCATCTTGTTACAGCTGCTACTGGTATCATTCTTTGACCAAAAGAGCCTGACTCCCACACCCCAAGCCCTTATGCGACAGGCCTCTGCCGGGTCAGTCTGCGACCCCTTCAGGGCTGTTTCTAACTGGCCATTCTCGGCTGCCTCGACCTCTGCCCAAGTTGCCCGTTAGGCTTTACCCCTTGGCTTTCGGGCCAGGGAAACAAAGACATGAGGTCAGGAGGCTTGGGGTTGATAACTGGGCTGTTAGTGTTTGGAGATGATTGCATCTAGGTTGAAGGTGAAGAATGGAATTCCACGCATTTGGAGAGCATCTTGGCTAGAGCTTGTGAAGCTCTCTAAGGCTTGGGAAGTATTTGAGACCCTGGCTTTAAGGAGACAAGCTTGCATTTAAGGCTCGAGGATGCACTGCAAGTTCACCCGGAGCTCCAGGCCGACGTCCATCAAGTCTAAGGTTTCTTGTTAGCGAGACAACAGCCTTTGAAACCTTGGAGTCTAAAAGGCTTGGAACTGGGAATTTTCATCAAGACCAGCCGCTGAGCCTCCACCTCAGCCCTCAAAACCCTAAAGGCCCTCTACTCTAACCGCGGCAGGTGGCGAGAAGCTGGCAAACCTGTGACCTCACCACTGGCAGGTCGTTTCGGGGGTCCTGCCAGGATCACTGCTTGACTAGCTTGCTTGGAAAAATGAGGTCCATTTTGGACTTCATTCAAGTATTCACACACACACACATTCCCAAAGTGCCATGATTCTTAAGGGCTTTTTACCCTCAGATTTCGGAGCGTGCCACATTGGATCTGTGACAGGACACCTATCGTCACTCAAATACCGAGGCTTTGGCCGTTGCGCCGCTGCCAGGTCTCAAAAAATACATGCAGGATCCACAAGCAGGTGTCACGCCTTTTCGTAACTCTGCATTGGGCTTTGTGATGATGAACTACTGGATAGGATATCACAAACCATGATCTCAAAGACCTACACCCGCACACTGCACACAATCACTCCCCCAACCCAAAGCACGACCAGACCCCTTTACCTCCGAGGCTGGTGAAGAAGACACTCCTCCTTGGTGTCCGCAGCTTCCTGCGGAGCTCCAGGAGTCCTGCGAACGTATTCATCAAGCGATTTGTTTGTCGTTTGTAGGGTGTCTCCATAACATTCGTGTAGTCTTGGGAATGAGGAGGATATGCGAAAATCACGGGCATTTTGGCCACCTCCATAGCGGCACTGAGGGTTAATTGAGCCATTACAAAAGCATGTACAGGGCCTGCAGCCACCCCTTGCATCGGGTGCAGGATGCAGGCTCTCATGCTCAGGATTGGGTGCCGCGACCATAGCTTCTCTGACTTGTCTTGGGATTTCTTTTGGCTTCTTGCTGCAGACACTTTTCTGCTGCCCAAATGAGTGGTATTGGTATAAATGCGCATCATGGCTATCGAAACTAGCACTCAACTTATCACCTTACTCCGGTTTCATGATGGCCGTTCCATCCAAACAGTTTTGCAGACTCTAGAGGTACATGTAGTGCCAAGTGTTCCTGAGATCCGAAGCCCCACCCTATCCCTTGACCCAACCTGTCGAAGCTCCTAAAGCCTGAATCCCTGCAGCAGTCCCGTCGATGCTGACGAAGGACTCTTCTCCAGGCTTTTCTGCCTCCTGGCGGGCGCGTCGGAAACAACAAACCTCTTGGCAGAAGGCCTGTTTGTTGGGGCTTATGCTCACACAAGCCAAGCTACCTTCTGAAAAAGGGAGGCTTCCCCAAATTAAGCTTCTTTTTTGGGGGTGCCTACAAGCAGGACTGTATTTTCTTGGGTATATAAGTGGTTCCACATTCAGGGAATTATGGGAAACTCCCATGTACTGGCCTTTTCCTTGTGAAGCGGCCTGGAGCTTGCCTTGGTGCTGCCTCAGAGCACTTAGGTCAGACCGAGTTTCCATCTTGGTGCTTGGCCCCGAAATCTGCTGCGCTCGGTCTACACTCGAGACACTTGCCAGGCTCTGAGAATGCCTCTTAATTCGGGCCCAGCTGCCCGAAGCCAAAGGCGGGAGCTGCTTGTCTGACTTCTCCAAGTCTTTCTTGGTGCCCTCAGGCGGGACTATGCTTGGGTTGGGGTTGGGAAATCTGACCACGCAATAAGCAACATGCGTCAGTAGTCTGGGGCGCAGGCTACACTCGGGATTAACCCCAAGCTGACTTGCTCACTGGAAACCCCACTGCGAACAGAGAATCCACACACGGTGCCTCCAACTCCCGATCCAAAATCACTGAGAAACTCTCAATTTAGAAAGAGTTGCATGCAGTCCAAAGCACAGCTAGGTACTTGCAGACGAAGTCGACTGCGTCAGCAGGCTGCTCCTGCCAGAATCTTCTGCCTATCAACCCATTTTTTTCCGTCTGCATAAAAGTTCTTCTGGCCCTTGACAATTCCCCGGAAAGCCTCAGCATGGTGCAGGTCAGGTCTGAAAGTGCGAATGTACAAGCCCAACTTGCCATCTTGCGTGTGATGTTGTGGGCTTTTCTCCGGCGGAACAAGAAACCACTAAGTGTTGAAGTGAGACGGGGCAAGGAGAACGACACATTGTAAAGTTCACCTCTTTCTGGCAAATAGCGGTTGTGGTTGCCATTAATTACATCGCGCTATGGTAGCAAGCTCTTTTTCAGAGCTTCACTTCATGCTGGGGTAACTCAGCGCACTTGTGAAGACAGAGCAGTCAACAGAATGCGGCCAAGCTTGTTATCATCCCGGTCCTTGAGCAAAGCCTCGCTTGCGAAAAGGGAGCATGACTCATGCAAGCAAGTCGACTGAAATGCCAGGTGGGTGCCATGTTTCTGGATGTTGCTGGAGCCTTTTTGCACCTGGACTCGCTGATGGGAGTACGCACGAGAACCTCAGCCCTATAAGTCCTGCGGACGCTCTTGCACATGAAAGGGGGGCTGCCCCCAATCGAATGCGAAGCCTGAAAACCCCAACCGAAAGCCAACCATGATTTCAAGACACATCTTTCGGTACAAGTGGTCCTGTACGGGATACAACAAAGAAGCCAGTAGTCATGCGAATGCATCCAGGCTGCCTTTACAGCTTCGGAAAGCTTTTCCTTGGACGTCTTGGGCGCAAGCAAGGGGAGCAGCATACTCCGCAAAGGTTGTACCGAAACCGAATGACACGGCGACAAATGGGTCCGAATCCCACAGACCATCTTATCAGGGGCTCATGTATAGGATTGTGTCATCTCTCGAGCAAGCAGAATAAGCTGGGACTGGGAGACATGTGTTTTGCAGGAAGAAAGTCAAGACCCGAAGCCAAGGATGAAACCACAAACTTTTAATGCTAACTGGTTTGTTTGACTGCTGGACCAAGCGGCTTCGATTCGGTGCTTGCCCAAATATTCCTGCGCAAAGAAGTAAGGTGAAGGCAAATCAGCTAAGGAACGCACTACATGGCTCGAACCACACCCCGGGCCGAGCGCTATTGGTCGTCCACTGTTTCACGGTCAATATGGCAGAGGGACCTGAATAACATCAATGCAGCAGAGGAAATGTGTCTTTGGGGTAAGCAACTGTCTGTGTAGCCCGTCATGCTCTAGCCTCCCCACACGGTAGCACCGCACCTGATGCGGAAAGTAGGACATGATGAGGTTCCAAAGCTACAGCCCAAAGCAGGGATCCGCTTTCAATTCAACAATCCCCAAAAACCTCAAATAATCAGCTATGCCAGGGGGACTTATTGGTTCCGTCCTTCGCCCTGCCCTTCATCTTGGCAGCCCGATCCGTTTTGGACTTCTGGACCTCCTCGGACCGAGTGGACATGTTCACCTGCCCAGGAAGGCCGCAAGTATACCGGACGCGTAGGAAGCATTGTAGGCACAATTGGAGATTGTATATCGCCTGCCGCATAGTTTGTTGCGTTACTAGACGCCCTGTTTCCAATCGTTTTTTGACTTGCCCACGACCACATTTTGAAATACAGTATTCTGCCAGAGTTCAGGGATTGGCAAATGGAATATTGTAATGAATGTGGGACATGCAGGCGTCAAGTAAATTGCGCAGCTTTCTGGGGGTTCAGGCTCTGCACCGGAACAAAACCCAGAAACTTTACACACCAGTATTATGCAATACCTCTTGACATGTTGATGCGTGCAGATGTGTGCATTCCACTTGGCCTGCAATCAGGGATCTTTTGGGTGCAAGGACGAGGTACAAAGCGCAATGCATGTCGCTTCCATCTGGAGAAGAGCTATCAACCTCACACTCAGTCTCAAACCCTACATCCTAAACACCTGTTCCATCTATCTTGAACAAGATCCAAATGTTGGCTAAGCCCCAGAGCCCTGATTCTGGCTTGAACTTCTAAGCCCTTAGACCCCAAACCCTGTCCCTCTTCTTGGGTAAGAAATGACGTTATATTCATCGCTGGGCATATCTGACTATGCCCCGTTCATACCTCAGCCCCCCCCCCCGACCCACTGCCATATCCTTCTCATGTCTGCTTTTATCCTCAAAACGTCATAACTGGCCCCCTCAACACTCAAACAACCAAACCCTACACTGCACCCTAGAGTGAGGATATCTGCCTTGAACTTCATGGCTGGGAAGTCTGGGTGAGTGCTTGTTGCAAAGACCTGGTTGACTCTCAGCGAGGAGGTTTGCCACAAGAAAGAGCCGAAGCATTCTTGTAAAGGGGTTCTAAGGATATGTATGGGGTCAAACAGTGACATCGAACATGATAATGGATTCCGTAGGTGGAGAGCCCCTAAAAGGTATGCGCTCCGCGTGACTGACATGAAGCTCTAGAAAGGTCGGCATGTTGTCCCCTGTTGGGGTTTGGCATTCATTTTTGGGGAACATACCTAAACTTTGGGGGGTTCTAGTACGCGTTGATGTTGAAGTTAGACTCAACGCCAAGCCACATGAAGTTCCGATGATACCGCACAAATCCCTGCAAAAGTCCTAAGAATGCATTTGTACCCTGCCACAAGCTGTATTGCAGCTGTACCTAACCCCTAAACCCTCAAACCCTAAACCTCCAAACCCTTAAGCCCGGACCCCTAAATCCTCTAAATCCTATAGTAGGGGTTATTGACGGGGATACTCGGAGTTCACCCTAAACCCTAACCCTAAAATCCTGAAACTCTGTATCAGAATTTGACCTCTGGCCAACCTCGTGCATGGAGGAGCTGTCCGGCTCTGCGGACAGGAGGCAGCCTCAGCCGATCAGACCGGCATAGCCTAAACTCCAGCCTGCATTGGGGTTATATAGGGATAATGGAAAAGAGAATGGAGACTACTACATTATAGTGGGTATATGTATATGTATGTATATATATATATATGAGCCATAGTCTAAACTCCAAGTATCCCCCTTGATAGTCCATGGGGTTTAGTGTTTAGGGTTAAGGGTATAAACCCCTAGTATCCCCCTTAATATCCCGTATAATTGTCCCCTATATAATGCCCTATGGGGCAGACCCTTTTCTGGGGGCGTCTGAAGACAGATGTGTCCACTCAAGTTGTCTGTAGGAAGAATAGAGAGAGACTCCAGGATGCGGTGTCTAGTGATTGAGTTTTGGCGGACCCTCGTGAGCACGAGGATTATTCCGGGATTGTTTGGTCCATTGAAGGATTCTGTAGGCCACGCACTGAAAACTTCCATATAGGTAAACTACCACCAGTGCAGAAGGTCAGCAAGGAGGTATTTCAAAAGCTGTGTGGTTTCCACGCACAGACTGTACAAAGAAATCAGTTGATCGGAGATCGTAATCTTGCTGGCTTAAAGCTGAGCGGCTGCCCACGTGCTGGTAAACGTCTATGCGCACATCCTGGGTGTCGGTCAGACTGCAGGGTGGGTGGAGGGCTTCGGTTCCCCTTTACAGCGATACATGGTAGATATACATGGTAGATAGCGGTTTCCGTAAATAGGGCTACACCCAAGATAGGCTCCAAAATACTGTAGTGCGTTTCATACACTAAGGTACATATACACATATTCACGCACTCATGCGCACATTTGGGTTTGCTCATCTTTGGGTGATCTGGATTATTTTACGGACATGCAGGGGCTCATCCTTATCCGAATAAAAACGGACTCCCAAATTGAGCCCGACAAACTACTGTCATTTCACAAGTTCATGCGTGGGGTTTCACTGTTTGTATCTGTGAGGTGTAGGCAGTCCGTTTGCCCACAGCCTGATCAGTGAACAGTGGCAACAGATGAGCCTGGGCTAGACATTAAAATTCTGAGTGCCCTGATGGAAAAAAGACAGGCTGCACCATGCCAGAACGGCGAGACAGGACTTGGCGTTCATCCATTCGTGCTATGACTGTTTTAGATTACAGCTCTTTCTCGTTTTCTTCTTCTTCTTGGGACCATCGTCATTAAATCAGCCTTCACTAGTAGGTGTGTTTATATCATGACACATCATAATTCTCAGAGAGCCCTGACTGACCATCGCCCGGTCACCCTGCGGCGATCGATGGCCGGAAATGTGTAAGCCTGGATTTTGCGGGTGAGGATTGACAAGGCAATCTCGGCTTCACATCGGGAAGAAAGACGCAATGGACCCCGCACAACACAAGCTGCAAGACACTTGAGTACAGTGAGGCAATGAGGCTGAGAAGTGATTGCCTGATGATGAGGGAGAATGGCAGCACGATTTCCCATGAGGCCCCGATGCAGCTCTGAGCCCAGTAGCTCTCTGAGGTTCGTATCTGCCTTGCTTAAGGACTTCGCCGACGCGCACACTCACCTTGGGTGCATGCGCAAGTGTTGGCTGAAGCTGTTTACTTTGCAGGGGGCAACCGAGGATGCCTGCCGCAGAGTCTGGTTGCACATCGCATGCCGGCTGCAAACTCCTGCTTCTCCCCCAAACCTCCTCAGTGTTTTGACCAAGACGCATAGCAGGACTTTGGCAGCATGTCTGCGTTGGCGCTTTCCACGTGAACTTCCATCCTCAGAGGGAGGCCGTCTCTGTTTGTGGCGGTCTGTCACCTCATGTTATAATCGCCTAGTGAAGCATCAACCAACAACAATACAGATAGTGGTGTTGTAGGCTTGGGGCTTGGCAGCATGACTTCACCAGTTACGGTTCTGATATAACGGATAAATGCGGGATGAATGCTTCACCTTTGGAAGCTGAGGCTGCGGCTTGGACGCTCAGGGGGATGCGATGCCACCCGCTATAAGAAAAAATGGCTACGGTTCTGGGGAGAGCCTTGATGTTTTGACTTACAAAATGGCCTGCTTTTCGAAGAGCTACTGGCTACTGCTACGCCAGGGGACAATTTATGTTCTCTGAAGACTTTCTTTGGCTTCTGCAACCCGGCTCTGGATTACCCACATTGCATCCTGAGCCCTGAGCTTTGAGGTTTCATCGCAATCCAGGGCCCATAACCATTCAATTTGGAAGAAGCTCCAACACCAAGGCACATGGGAAATTGCAATGTGATGACATCGTCAAGGCTGGTGAGGGGCTACATCATGGTGACTGACAGGAGACGCGTGCCATTGCCTCTGGCTCTCTGTAGTAGCTACTGTTCTAACTATTTCGAGCTAACTATTTCGAGTATCATAGGAAAGATCGTCGGATGTTCTACCACCGCGTTGACACAAGCACCTTGCGAAGCAAAACAACATAGGCATCTTTTGCTGGCCTTCACGCGTCTGGATAATAGTTTCCAGGCGGGCCGCGCGATCTTGCAATCGACAGGCCTGAACAATGAAAATAAGGTGTTGGGGCGTATTGGCATAGTGTAGCCTGCAAGTAAACTGAAGTAGCAAGACTAGTATAGATACAGGCTCATAAAGCAATCTCCATGAACCACCCAAGTTGTCTCCTGACCTCAACTCCCCGAAGCATCTTACCCTGAAGCCTGGCTTGCAAACCGCCACCTTCAAAAGTGTTTCTATGTGTAAGGCCTTTTGCGATCGCTCGTTCAATCCATGCGAGACTTCATCTTGCTAGCTCATCCGGGCTGGTTCTACGACAGGCGTTTCAGAAGTACCAGCCACACATGCCTCCCAGTCAAAACGGGTATTCATACCATACAGCATGCCCAAATGATAAACTGGGCTACAAGCCGGCAATCCTGCAGACCCATGGGCCCATGTTTGTGGGGGCGCATCAACATGTGGACCCCATCTGAAGCCTCAGTCACAGCACCACCCATAGCACGAGCTCATGGCTAAGCCACGGCTGTCCCACTTCCCCGACAGATTGACGTAACTACGACGCCAACCTGGATGCCGGACTCCGACCATCACGTTGAGGCTTGGGCTCTCAAAGGACTCGATAACATCTGCAAAGAGAACATGTGGTGAAAGGGTGCATACTGTCATGCCGGAAAAGAACTTAACCTAGCCCCGAAACCCAAACCCTTTTCCGAGCCTACTCCATCAGATTGGAGAAAATGGTCCAGGCACGCAGCCTCCGCCTGGAGGGTCGGACTACAAATCTCGAATGTGGAACAATGTTTCAGAATTGAATGTTGCTGCTGCTGCTGCCGCTGCTGCTCGGCAATCCTTTAATCCCAGTACATCACAGGTTGCCGAGATCCTCATTTGATTCTTTGTGCTGCTTACCATCCTGAGCCCCAGTCCCTTCAAAAACATCTCGTCATCACACCAGCATTCCCCCACACTTCAGTGCACATGCGACGAAGTAGATGGAACGCAGGGTGATGTACTTGAAAACCCAAGAAACCTGTACGCGTCGCTAGAACGCCCCAACCAGGGTGTCATTACAAGCAGACATTGAGTTCTGCAAGGATGCTGCCGAGCTGCACTTCTGCCATGGACAGCCATGGGGTTTTGCCAAGCTCTACCCTGAGATGTGCCCCAGATGAGTGGGGCTTGGGGCTTAAGAGCTGAGGTAGTGACTGGGAATATTGGGGATGCGTGTCTAGGCGCGCATGCTAATATCGGGTCTCAGCTTTTTTCTAGGGTTGACTCAAGACGAGAAGGCAAGTTTTGAATCATGGTCAATATCTCCCGCATGACAACAATACAACAATATTGATGGTAGGAGACCCCACAGTGTGCTGGAGGCCATTTGCCAATAGACTTACAGCTCGCATCTCTAAAACCAGTGCATAAAATCTCCTGAAGCCTAAGCTCCCCTTAGAAACGCTTGCAGTCATGGAGCACACCTTGAGCTTCCAGCTGCCAGTTGTCCTGGAGCTCCAGCCGATTCCTTTGAGACTCCCTGGGAGTAGGGCCTTAAGGAGTTCAATTTGTTTTAGCCTCCTCAAAACAAACGTAACTCAAATGGACAACCGTCTCGTTGGCGACTGTTTTGGGGTGCCATCTTTCTTTGACCTTTGTTGGCTCCGCTTGTTGGGGTGCTAAGATGAGTCCAGGATGCGAAGAGCAAGGTCTAGAGGGCCAGTGCTCCGTTGAAGAGACGAGGGCAGTCTTGTGGGGAGTGGGCAAGGAAGACAGCAAGTGCTAGGGGACATTTTGCGGCAGGCTTCTGTCTAGTATTATCAGCTGGCACCCCCCCAAAAAAACCCTAAAAGCTCAATAAAGGAGCAACACAAACGTAACCTGGACATGCACTTTACTACGCAATCGTAGGCCAAGTACCATGGCGAGCTCTGTTAATCCTTCAGAATGCCCCATGCCACATGACGTTCCACCAATTCCCCGGATTGCGGATGCTGGAAAGGTTGTACAGTACAACCAAGGGTTGCTAAAATGCAGTTGTTCCTGAAACTTTGGAGTCTGTGATTGCATGGTCTGCATGGAGCTACTTTAGGATGTCAAGGTACTTGGGGCGTATGGGTGGTGTTGCAGTTTTCCATAAGTTCAGCCTCTGTCTAAGGGAACCTTTCTCACAACGTTGTCCATTTGCTCAGGGTAGCCCCTTACACATCTAAAACTCGAAATGTTACACTATTGGGGGTTGTTTGAAGCTTTAGTCCAGAACCCTGCAGCCGTAAACCTCCGCCAAGATGCTTTATCCAGCTGCCAGAGCCGAAGATGTTGACCTAAGTCATGGGGTGAAAGGCCTGGATGTTCATACTTGGAGGGTCAGGCAGACTTAGTAAGTAGCTTAATAGGGGGATAACTGGGATTACTATATAGGTTAAGGGGTGATTATCCTACTTACTAAGTCCCTCTCACCCTCCAAGTACTGTTTCCAGGACCACCTGTCAGGTGTGTTCGCATGCCAGGTATGTCGTGCATTGCCATGCTGAAGAAGGAAGACCTGAGCATCACCACTTCAACCCATTACCGCTCCAGACACAATTCCCTAAGTCTGTCGAAGTAGTCTTGGATGATGTCTGGCAAGGATCCCGTACATGAGGTAAGTTTGGTGCTGCTGTGCTTCACACGCCAATCTCCTCTCTAACGCTGCTCTGGAGAGCAAGCGACTCAGAGGGGAGACCTCTCAAAAAATCTTACATCATTAGTGCATGCATGGGAAATTTCTTGATGCTCAAGGAAAAAAGCATGGCTCACTTGCAAAAGACCCGTGAGTCTTTAGGTCCAGGACGTTGAACAAGGCTACCAGCCGTGGTCGGCAGACAGTCTCGATGATCAGCCACTCCTAATCGCAGCAGAGGGTAGCGGTGTAAAAGCTAGTCAGCAAGCATGACAGCGGCAGCAGCAGGAAGAGCGCAGCGACGACAATGGTGAGAAGGAGGGGAAGAAGCAGAAGAAGGTCAAGACGTGACAGCAGCAATTACGTAAGTTAAATCTGCCAGAAGGCAATATGATGTAAGGCTACCAAAACATGACAGCAGGCAAGACTTTCGACGTGCTCAGTCTCTGAATGGATACGGAGGTATCTGAGCATTACGCAAAAATCACGGAACATGATGCCCTGGCTGGTCCTGACTCGTGCTTTTGCTGCTGTGTTTGGGACGAAAAAGCTTCGCCGAAAATGCGCTAGATGGGGCGACAGGCGTCTCGATGCTCGTATTGGCTTCAGGTTGTGGTTCATTCGCTTCTTATTCTACATCCTCAAGCATGTGTGGGGACATCTCACAGAGGCCCGATCGACTCGGAGCTGCTCTACAGCTGTAGTTGTCAAAGACTATCGTGGTCTTTTCCAACAAATGGTCTACAGGTGTCAGAAACAGCAGTGGCCCTCTAGCAGCAACAAGAAACGTGAACAACAACTTGTCCCATCTATGTCCAGCAGTCACCGCTCAAGGATTAGCAATACTTTCAATGTCACCGGAGTGTCTAGCAGTCTTGCATCGGCGCTTAACGGAGTTGTACCATTTTCAGTACTTGTCATGTGCAAGTTGTCGCCATCGTACCTTCAACATACTAGCCACAATAGCTTGGCCCCATGATATACCAGGAAGACCCAACAGTTGAGAACGCCCCAAACAAGTCTAGATCCTGAACCAACTCCCACCTGGCTATAACCTTGAGCTGTGCATTCAGGCTTTAGGTGCTTGAGTCGATCCAGCCCTTGAAGTCTTGAATTGAACGTGCCTGAATTTCTATTTCGTGGCGCATAGGTGCTGGTTGTGAAACGCGGAGAAATTGCATATGCTGATGCAGAAGGCACTAACACCTACAGCTGTAGGATGCTGCCGGCTGCGGCTTGTGCAGGGCTTATGTTCAGGATCACATCAGTTCTGGGCCTGGATGTTTGAGGTGAATGCAGGTAAGAGAGAAATCAGAAAGCTACACATGATAGCAAATGAACTTCGTGTTGTGCCGGGAAACATGCTTTCAACATGCGTCTACGTCAGCAGCTTCAAATCTGCTGGCACATCACATTCCCCATCATCGTTGCCTCCGAAGCAGACTAGCTGGCCGTCCGTTCTCACCGCACAGGTATGGAATAAGCCCGCAGAGACCGCCAGAACGGGCCCCAAATCCCTTGGGACATCACATCGACCGTATGCGTTGCCTCCGAAGCAGACTAGCTGACCATTTGCCTTCACTGCACATGTATGAAATGTGCCCGCAGAGACGGCCAGAACTTCCC